CAAATCCGGGGGGGGTCCCCAAATCCGGGGGGGGTTTCCCCAAATCCCGGGAGGGTCCCCAAATCCCGGGGGGGGGTCCCCAAATCCAGGGGGGAGGTCCCCAAATCCCGGGAGGGTCCCCAAATCCGGGAGGGGTCCTCAAATCCCGGGGGGGGGTCCCCAAATCTGGGGGGGTCCCCAAATCCCGGGAGGTGTCCCGAAATCCCCGGGGGGGTCCCCAAATCCGGGGGGGTCCCCAAATCCCGGGGGGTTCCCCAAATCCCGGGGGGTCCCCAAATCCCGGAGGGGGTCCCCAAATCCGGGGGGGTCCCCAAATCCCGGGAGGGTCCCCAAATCCGGGAGGGGTCCCCAAATCCGGGAGGGGTCCTCAAATTCCTGGGGGGGGGTCCCCAAAATTTGGGGGGATCCCAAATTTAAGTGGGAAAATCCCGGGGGGGGTTCCCCAGAAATGGGGGGCATTTGGGGGGGGGGTTTGGGGGGGCGTTTCTAAATCCCGGGGGGGTCCCCAAATCCGGGAGGGGTCCCCAAATCCGGGAGGGGTCCTCAAATTCCTGGGGGGGGGTCCCCAAAATTTGGGGGGATCCCAAATTTAAGTGGGAAAATCCCGGGGGGGGTTCCCCAGAAATGGGGGGCATTTGGGGGGGGGGTTTGGGGGGGCGTTTCTAAATCCCGGGGGGGTCCCCAAATCCCGGGGGGGTCCCCGAGTCCCGGGGGGGTCCCCAACTCTCGGGGGGGTCCCCAAATTCCCCCCCGCAGGGAGCGGCTGTCGCTGTGCGGGCTCTGGCGCGCCATCGTCCTCGGGGACCGCCAGGCCATGAGAGACAGAGCGGCCGAACTCGGGGTGCAGGGTGAGCACCCCAAAACCTGAGCGGGGAGAGACCCCAAAAATGGGGGAGAGCACCCCAAAAACCTGGGGGGGAGAGAGCACCCCAAAAATGGGGGAGAGCACCCCAAAAATGGGGGAGAGCACCCCAAAAACCAGGGGAGAGCACCCCAAAAACCTGAGCGGGGAGAGACCCCAAAAATGGGGGAGAGCACCCCAAAAACCAGGGAGGGAGGGAGAACCCCAAAAATGGGGGAGAACCCCAAAAACCTGGGGGAGGGAACCCCAAAAATCGGGGAAGAACCCCAAAAATGGGGGAGAGCACCCCAAAAACCAGGGGAGAGACCCCAAAAATGGGGGGGGAGAACCCCAAAAACCTGGGGGAGAGAGACCCCAAAAACGGGGGAGAGCACCCCAAAAACCTGAGCGGGGAGAGACCCCAAAAATGGGGGAGAGCACCCCAAAACCTGAGCGGGGAGAGACCCCAAAAATGGGGGAGAGCACCCCAAAACCTGAGCGGGGAGAGACCCCAAAAATGGGGGAGAGCACCCCAAAAACCAGGGGAGAGCACCCCAAAAACCTGGGGGAGAGAGAACCCCAAAAATGGGGGAAAGCACCCCAAAAACCAGGGGAGAGCACCCCAAAAACCAGGGGAGAACCCCAAAAACCTGAGCGGGGAGAGACCCCAAAAATGGGGGAGAGAGACCCCGAAAATGGGGGGGAGAACCCCAAAAACCCTGGGGAGGACCCCAAAAATGGGGGGGAGAACCCCAAAAGCCTGTGGGGGGGGGAGGACCCCAAAAATCTGTGGGGGAACCCCAAAAACCTGCGGGGGAGAGACCCCAAAAATGGGGGAGAGCACCCCAAAAACCTGCGGGGGGGGGAGAGCACCCCAAAAACCTGAGCGGGGAGAGACCCCAAAAATGGGGGAGAGAGACCCCGAAAATGGGGGGGAGAACCCCAAAAACCCTGGGGAGGACCCCAAAAATGGGGGGGAGAACCCCAAAAGCCTGTGGGGGGGGGAGAACCCCAAAAATCTGTGGGGGAACCCCAAAAACCTGCGGGGGAGAGACCCCAAAAATGGGGGAGAGCACCCCAAAAACCTGCGGGGGAGGGACCCCAAAAACCAGGGAGGGAGGGAGAACCCCAAAAATGGGGGGAGAACCCCAAAAACCTGCGGGGGAGAGACCCCAAAAATGGGGGAGAGCACCCCAAAAACCTGGGGGAGAGAGAACCCCAAAAATGGGGGAAAGCACCCCAAAAACCAGGGGAGAGCACCCCAAAAACCAGGGGAGAACCCCAAAAACCTGAGCGGGGAGAGACCCCAAAAATGGGGGAGAGAGACCCCGAAAATGGGGGGGAGAACCCCAAAAACCCTGGGGAGGACCCCAAAAATGGGGGGGAGAACCCCAAAAGCCTGTGGGGGGGGG